ATACTACTACTACTACTACTACTACTACTACTACTACTACTACTACTACTACTACTACTACTACTACTACTACTACTACTACTAACGCTGTTACTATTACTCATCACCACTATAACGCACGCTCAATGCGGTTTGCAACAATTACTAACCCAGCCAAGCTAACCATAGAATACTAAAAGACAACCTCGAGTTCTCGGGAAGCATACATTGCAAACAGCTGATTATGCACTCAGACGCTAATAAACTGACAAAATATTTTGCTCTCTGTAGTGGGTACCCATTCTCACCCGAGTAAAGTAATGAAAATTCGTGTAAACGGCATTTCCCAAAGATACAACGTCGGGCCCCTTTCGGTTTCGACGCCAACATAATTCTTGTGTCAGGAGACCTGTTATTGAGTATCACGGTCTTTCTGCTAGGATTATGTATCCTTTCAGCTTTGGTTGGCCCTGACAGCCATAGTCGGAATCTGCCTGCTAATATGATCTCATGATGTCGATGTGGGAATAACAATATTTACTTTTTTTAAAAGTGTTGAACAGAAGTTGAACTCAGCTCCCATGCATTTCTGCAACTGCGTTTCGCATGCATTCAGACACGCTTTCCTACTTCTTAAAAGATAATTAAATATATTAACCGCTTTGTGGATCATTGCAATTACACAGGAATACAAACATATATAAATTGTGGACTTACTCAAAACATGTAGGATTTCTGCTAGTCTCAAAGAAAAATTAACAGTGTACAGTCTACCAACTACATAACTAACTGTATTATAACAGTGTGTTGATTATAGATAACTTATAACCTACACAATGTTATACTAATCAGATGGCGTCAATCTGTTCGGATTGGGCGATTTTTAAAAAAAAAATTTTGGGGGGGGGGGGACAAATGTACTTTGAAACATACATACTTTCCTCCAGTGATATATCAACCTGGCATATAAAACAGAACATAGCACCAAAACGGACGGTCAACACTTTGTACACACATGCGCTCACACGCATACACACAAACACATACACTCAAACACATACACACATATTATGTACTATACACACATACACACAAACATACACAAACACACATACACACATACTCTACACAACACACACAGACACAAAACACAAATACACAAACACTAGCACACACACAAACACACAAACACACACAAGGACACACAAACATACAAACGCTCACAGATATTATACTTACTACACATACATACACACTCACAGTCATTTGCACGCACACAAACACACACACAAATACACACATACACACACACTCACACATCGCGCACTCACACAGACACATGACGCACACGAAACAAAAAAACACAAAGACAAAAACGCATTGTCTGTTATTTATTTCTGTTTAACCCACAGACGCTGACAGCATTGTTCTACTATCTGAGCAGAACGGTGACCCTGCTACCACTTATATCAACGCAAACTTTATCCCAGTAAGTAACATCATCATCATCATCATCATCATCATCATCATCATCATCATCATCATCATCATCATCATCATCATCATCATTGTATAAACCAGATATTAAAACAGTTAAGACCTGGTAGTGTTTCCAAAAAATATTTTATCCAAAGTTCAACTTTTCGCCCTCAACAGGCTTCCTCCGGAACATTCACAATATAAATGACAAGAATCTAGATCTACAAATGCTATAAAAACTAAAGTGCGTACATCATCATCATCATCATCATCATCATCATCATCATCATCATCATCATCATCATCATCATCATCATCATCATCATCATCATCATCATCAAAGGCTCACCAACCTCCTATCATAGTGTGCTTTAAGGTCGAGACAATGACAGCAACAGCAGTGAGGTCCACAATGTTGATGGTGATGGTGATGGTGATGGTGATGGTGATGGTGATGGTGATGCTTGTAGTAATTACAGTCTAAATTGTCTAAAACGGCCATCCATTTTTCTTGGAGGAAAAATGCAGTCTAAGACAGTGTAGCATCTGATACAGTTTTACGAAATGTAAAAGTCGCAAGGAGAATGGAAAGTGGTCATTTGTACAGGTGTATGCCCTTTACAGATTGCCTTTAAAACAGGCTCGACTGCATTTAGATAATAGCGACCACCTCTAGAGATAGTTTTTGTCTACGATGAATACAACTTTGAATCAGACTAACAGAAAACATATTGATGAGTTGCTTGCTAATGCTAGCCCTTCTTCAAAATGATATGCAATTTACTAGGGATATAAGAAATAATAGCTGGGTGATACAGTAATATATAGAAACAAATAACGTCTAACCATAGATATCTGCTGCCTCTTTGAATAGATTAGTATCGTTTAAGTCTATCTATCTATATTTTCATCTATGTGGGTGGTTGACGGGTGCTCTAGTGTGGTTTGCTCTTTGTGTTGTATTAAACATTTATCTCTCATTCGAATATCTCATTCTCATCCTTCTTTTCTTTGTATGGTACTCTAATGTATCACCTCTAAT